GAGCCTGTGGGATAAGCTTCAGAGCCCTTTCTGTCCTACTTCAGCCAGACTGCACAGGGAACTGGGCTCTACTGGAGAGGATGACAGAAGTGGCAACGACAGGCAGGTACCCCCTCCCTGCTTCTGCTCTGGGCTAGTTACTTCTGTTCTCCTCTTCAGAACATTTTAACTGAGCATGCACATACCTTATCTTGAGTGTCTTGCTGCTTTCAGGGGCCCAAAAGCTTACAGAAAAGGACAATTTTCTTGCCATTTTCCAGTTGGTCTAATAAAAGGTATCATTTTGGAACCAAGAGTTCTAGTTTTTCTGCATGTCTGGCTGCTTTCACACCTTCACCTTCTATGTAAACAAGAAAAACACTCTGTTGTCTGATCTCATCCCCAGCATTTTGTAAGCAAGATACTGCCTGGTATAACCTCACTGTTTACACTTCTCTAGACCCGTTTGGCTGCAGCCTCAAAAGTTAGATGTAGAGCTGGGAGCACAAGATTGGGAGAGAGGAGAGATGGGGCTACCACTTACATTGGTTGTACTCAGGTTAATACCTATGTAAGAATAGAAGAACCTGATCCTTGTTTTCTATTCCTGGCTTCAACACAGACTTTCATTCCATTCTATCATCAAAACTGCAAATGTATCATCAAAACTCAAATACCTGGGAGAAGGTGCAGGTAGAAATTCCCATGCCTTCATCCACCTGTTGTGGTCCCTTCAGCTATTGTTTTTTTCCCCAGAAAGTACTTTGAACTTTGAGGGTACAGATACTGCAGCAGAGTTTGTGTAAAGTCACCAGAAGTGCATGCATATACTCTGGCAGCTTGGCAGTGGAGGATACTGTTTGCGGCCAGCAAAGGCAAATAAGTATATACAAGGCTCTTGTGCTGATCACAACCCTCAGTATGAAGGTCAAATTTCAACAAAAAGCTTCCAGGAGATCCCACAAGTCTTCTCTAACATGCTGCTGTTACCTTGAGCTAATCTCTGAGAGTCTCAGTTTCCTCATCTCTGAAAAGAGAACAGCAGTATCATTTACCTACCTCAGGATAAAGACATTCATAGAATCATAGACAGTTAGGGTTAGAAGCAAAATCAGGAGGTCATCTAGTCCAACCCCCTGCTCAAAGCAGGACCAGGCCCAACGATATCATCCCAGCCAAAGCTTTGTCTAGCTGGGTTTTGAAAACTCCCAAGGATGGAGCTTCCACCACCTCTCTGGGTAACCTGTTCCAGTGTTTTACTACCCTCCTAGTGAGAAAATTCTTCCTAATATCCAACTAAATTTCCCTTGCTTCAACTTGAGACCATTGCTCCTTCTTCTGTCATCTGCCACCACTGAGAATAGCCTAGCTCCTCTTCAGGTAGTTGAAGACTGCTACTAAGTTTTCTCTCAGTCTTCTCTTCTGTAAATAAGCCCAGTTCCCCCAGTCTTCTCTCATAAGTTATGTCCCCCACCCCCTCACCATTTTTATCACCCTCCACTGGACTCTCTCTAATTTGTCCACATTCATGCTGGCTTATTTAGTACATAGAAACTCTGAGATGGAAGATGTCATGTAAATGGCAAATAGTAGCTAGACACAAAACTCACTAGTCATGTAGATATTTTTGAATCTAAGATTTAGGTTCAGCTCATTACAGAAATTAATCATTTTTAAAATATGGATCTGGGATTTTGAGTACCTCTACAGTTTGAAGGCATTCAGATCTGTCCTTTGGGGTCAGTTTGGGCCTATTTTTGACTGCATTGTAAAGAGAGGCAGTATATCATTTTCTTATGCATCCAAGATGATTATTATCCTTTATTTTTATTATTCATTAATTATGGGTAAAATTAGAGTCTGATCCTGCAGCTGATTCCATATGAGTTTTGCAGACTACCTTTGTATAACAAGTTGCCGGATTGGAGCCTGAATTTTTTTTACATTCTGTAATACAAAAATATACTTCCTCTTCTCTTATTATGTTAATTAAGCATTGAACATTTTAAAATTGGAATTTAAAACATTCAAAGCAAATTGCTGCAGTGGAAATGCCAGTACAGATGGTACCCTTACAGGTAGAAGATGACTCATTTCCAGAGATGAAAAAGAGCTGACATCTGGGGACTTCTCCATTAGCGTTTCTGAAAGTTGGTACAGTATTTTTACAGCACATTCCTGCATATAGCACCTTCTTTTGGAATGGTAGATTACATTTTAAAAAAAGATGGCCCTTCCTTGTAACTGAGTAGCAGCATCTAGGGAGCCTGCCTTCAAGTTTGTTGCCAGCCCTGCATGCTGGACGGGGCCCCTGGACCAACCTGGCACGCTGGGTCTGGGGCCATGTGCTGACTCCGACCACATGTTCTGGCTCTGGGCCAGGCCAGTGGGTGGGAGCCATGTAATTCAACCCGGGTGGGGGATTTCCACAGGTTTAGAAGTTTGGCAATGCAGGAGCTTCTAGATTCATGGCAATCAATGCTGCCAACACTCCCCTGCTACCAACTTTCTGGACCTGGGGGATCCATTTTTTTCTTGCATATAATACATACCCCAATTTTCACTAGCTGGTCTTGGGAAAATAGGTGGAGCTTATGTGATAAAAGATGGCATTTTGTACTGGAAGACAAATCTTACAGTAAGGTTTGTATATGTATTTGGATCAAGGCAGTATGCTCAGGAATAAGCAGCTTACACTGAGATGCAGAAGAAATCCCATTTCCTGTATTCTGTTTTCACTTCCTCCACAGTCTCTCTCACCCCTTTCAAATGTTTCTGTATCTCCTTATAATGCTAAGTGTTATCATAATGCTGGTGTTCATCTTTCACCCTACATGCTGCAGAACTGCACAAAGGTTGAAAGTGATTATTAAAATAAGAAATGCTTTAGTATTGTAAAATGTGTGTGGACACTAAGAAATTCATGCCTTCTGTTGTACTGAACAGCTACAGGGCATCATAACATCATGGATCAGAAGAGCACAGAATTCCTGCACTGGGGAAAATAAAAAGGCCTACATTATTTATTACGTGTGTTACAGGGCTATTTTTTATTAGCTGTTATCACAGGATCCAACTTGTACAGTTGGTTTACTAAGTTGTCTGCCTGCTTTCTGTTAGGGCAATATTCAAGCTCTTTATGAACTTGTCTACACAGCCTGGTGCAAGCCTGAGTGCACCACCAAGAAGCCTCCTTCAGTCGCATCATTTCACATACACCAAATCTCAGGCACAAGACAACAGAGCTCCTTCAGACAGGTGCTGTGTGTGTGCCAAAAGTCACTCCCAGGCTGTCTATCTCGGAGGTACTTACTGGCATGTGCTCAGAGCTGCTCTAATGTGGCTTCATTGCCTCATTTCTAGGATTTGCCATATGCAAAGCAACAGTAAAAGTATGCAGGCTGTGCTTCTCAGGACATGGGTGCACAAAACACTGTTAAACATGGTTAACCTGAAGCAGACGGACATACAAGGTTGTTAAACTGATTTAAAGGCTTATGCATGGAACAGTTCTAAAGTCTATTGGAAAAATAAAGTTCTATTTTTAGCTGGCCCGCTGTGTACTCATTTACTGTTGTGTGTGAAAACCAAGCATTCTGTGACATGGGTCTCATCAGTCCTCCTGGCATCCCACAGCGTACTGCTTTTCACCCTCCCACCCCAGTGCCACAATTAGCTGCTTTGGTATGTAACCAGAACTATTCTGTTGACACTTTTTAATCAATAAGCTACCTTTTTCATTCAGTAAAAGCTATCTAACAACCAGCTGTGTCCCCACTCCCTACTCAACTGTGGCCCCTTGTCATGCCCTTCCTCCCCCGGAACAAAAAAAGCAGGGGTCCAAGCACATCCTTCCTCTCCACAAGTCAGGCAAGCACACTGCAGACTTTGGTCACCTGCTGGCTATTGAAGGTTATGGCACTTATGCTTAGGAAACAAGAGAAACCAGAAGAGCCACAGGTCACTCACCCCCCAGGCTTCCTGAAGCATGGTTGCAAGCACACCCATTGCCAGGCAGTGACATTCGGGAATGGGATCTGAGCATATACTGCCAACATTTCATGGAAGCAGGATGCTGGGTGCCAGGGTTCCCCTTCTTCACTTGTGGCAGGTTAGGGTGTTGAGTGTGCAGCGGCTCCTTTAATCTTGCATGTTCCCCTGTGTGCACATTGCTCCTTCTCCCCTCCCTGTTGCTGATTAGCGGATGACCTCGCTGCTCCCTCCTGATCAGCAGGGAAGCTAGAACTGCCGTTTTAAACATGGCACCGTTTTTGCCTCTATGCTAGTCAGCAGCAAACAGCAGGGCTGCCCGGGGCCCCTCGGCAAGTCAGTGGCGGGAGGCAAACACGGTGCCGTATTTAAAGCCACAATTTTTGCTTCCCTGATCAGAAGCAAGCCACAAGCAGGGCCTCTCCACCTATCAACAGGGAGGAGAACATGTAAGATTAAAGAAATCACAGCTGACCCCACTTACACCATGAATTTGGTAGGTCCCTACATGCAGGGTTTGGATTCTGGTTTGTATGGGATGGTTCGGACAGGGATGATCCTGCCTCAGGCATGGGGTTGGACTAGGCTAGATCAGTGGTTCTTTTCTGTACCAGGACCCATTTGTAAACATCATGGCCAATCTGTACCCCACTCCCGCCCCCACAGTGTGCACACAGCTGTCATGCACGGGAATCGCTTGGGGCGCTGGGAGCCCGGGCTGCCCAGAGAAACCAGCCCCGAGCCGTGAGACATAAAGGCTCACACAAACCAAGCCGCAGGCGCGCGCTTTACAGCGGGCAGCTCAGCAAACCGGAACCTCCCGAGCGCCCCCCCCTGGTGTAAGACCTCGTTGCGCTAACGTCACCGCACGGGGCCGTGACCCTTCCGACCCCTCTTCTCTCCGCCCCGCAGGCGGGCGCTCCGGTCCCACAGCCAATGGGAGGGGGGGGGGGACGACACGTGCTGAGGCGCATGCCTGCGCGTGGGCGAAATGCTACGCGTACTTCCGCTCCGCGCGTTAGTTCTTCCGGTCTTCTGGCGCCGAGCGGGATGGTGCTGCAGGTGGCCCGGCCGCTCCCCAGGTGCCTTGCGTGGCCGGGGCGGGGCGGGAAGCCGAGCAGCGCTTGGGCGCGAGCCGAGTGGGGGGTTTCCCTTGGGGCTTCGTCCCCCCGCTGGCTGCAGGTGCAGCAAAGGGCGGCGCGGGTCTGGCCCGTGGCGACGCCCTTGCCCGGCAGAGCAGCAGCTGTCGCTCGTTGTAGGAGCGAGATCCACCCGCCTCCCCCCCCCCGCTTCAGTCTCAGTCTGAAACTGGAGCAGGCCTCGCACTGCAGAGGGCTCGGAACCACCTTGGACATCTCCGGGTTTCTGTCGTGACCAGATGCGGCCTGGCGCCCCTCCCCTATTCCCCAGCAGAATCTCAAGGCCCCCCACCAGACCTGATTGTGCAGTGCTACTCTAAAGCACCGGTTCTCAACTAGTTTTGTACCAGATCCTATTTGTATGCATCAGTGGCTAGTCCTGCCCAAGTGCCTGTCACTTCAGACCTAGTGCTCCCACTGCCAGGTCCCAAGCAGCCCCCTACACACTAACAAGAGAGCCCCATTTCCCACATTTAGAGCTTGCTGATCCATTTTTAAAGCTGGTTCACAACCCTTTCCTTTTTCTTGTGATCCACAGGTTGAGAAACACCATGCTAGAGGGTTGCATATGAAAGCAGCTTGTTCAGAGAACTCTAAATGCCCCTTACCTCTTGTGCAAGGAGGGGGTGGGAGCAGTACAAGATGCCTTTAGCCTGAGTCACCTGTGGTTGTGTGTTCTTTCTACTAAGAAATCTTACCTATGGGAAGGTTAGACTAGTGTTGGGGCTAAAGCTTGGGAGGCAGCATAAACTAGCATAATACTTGACTGATATACTTGTAATTGTGAAATCTACTTAATCATGCATCTGGCTAAAAGTGCCACTCAGCATTTGGCAGTTTAAAAAGAAGCAAAGATCCAGTACCTTAAAGTCAGAACCCAGCAAAGTCACTTCCTTGTCTGCCCGCACAAGTGGCATGGGGTTTGTAGCAGAGGTTATAAACAATTACATATGGATAGATCTTAGTCTTTGTTCAGGTGTGCTGGAGTAAATCTTGAATAAGTCTTTAGGATTTCAGTGAAGTTATTCTACGCATGCACCCATGATACAATAGCAGATGCGATGCCTTGCAAGTTTCTTCAACTGGAAGAGAAGTTTTTTGTTATTTATTTTTTGAGAATGGCAGTTGAAAAGCTGAAATAACTTCAGAGTCTACAAGATATGCCATAAGGCTTTGAAGTCATATCCTCATGTTAGGAACACCCCTAAATATTAGATAGAGAAGAGTCCTAAGCTAGCTGATTATAGGCAGCCCTTCTTCCTTTATGTCTTAATTTTCTTCTAAACTTGTTTTAGCCATTTCAGAATTGGCAGTGGCTCACTTGCATTTGTGTTAGTTGGGTTTCCTTTGTGTGTCGTGGCCCCCTCCCCTCCCACTCCTTGAAACCAGTTCACTAGGAGAGGTTGAAGAAACTGGGCTTATTTAGCTTGGAGAAGAGGACATCGAGGGAGGATTTAATAACAGCCTTCAGCTACTTGAAGGGTGGTGTGCTGGGGATCTCTCAAGGCTGGTCAGTGTTGCCCTGCCCACATGTCTAGAACAGTCTGCCCTACTTCCCCTGCCATGCCTTGATATAATAAATTACTGATTTAACAGTGTGGGAGGCTGCTCATTTAAATGCCCCAGTGCCTAGGGCATTATACCCAGCTCCATGCTTCCCCTTATACTGCATCCTATGCCTCATAGAGGACATCTAATTCCACTGTTACTGCCCTGAGCCCTTAACTGGTTCTCAACTCACACCCCATCACTAGAGCCTTAACTGTGGCTACTCTGGTTGACTCATGTGCAGTCCTTCAGGGCCCATAAGGCCATATTCTACACAGCCTCCAGCCACTACTCTGCCCCCTCACTGTGGTCACAGGGCCTTATCCCCCACAGGCCTCAGGTGTTTGCAGATGTGCCTGGACCCCCATTCTTGGCCTACAGCCCACTCAGTCCTCAGGTGTGTAGAGAAGACTGGGTCCCACTCAGTGAGCCTGGGCCCTTGTGCTTTTCTGTCAGGGTGTTTTCCCCTAGCCTTTCCCCTCCCCTGGATACCCACAAACTAGCAGGGGCTGAGGCTTGCTGGCATCCCATACTTGCCCTTCTCTAGGGAGGTACAGGTGTGGCATTTCCTGGAAGGTGCCTTGCCACAAGCAGCCCCACCACACCAACCCCAGCAGGGTGTAGTTCTAGGTCATTCTCCAGGACCAGGAACCTTCTCCATCCCTATAGTTCCTGCCCTTTACCTCCAGGTGTTTTGAGAGCAGCAGTTCCAGCTGGGTGATGTTCTCCCTCTGGCTGCTTGTAACAACTCCTGGCTTGATTGCTCAGAGCCTGCTCTTATCCACTAGCAGCTAGGCCTTCCTTCCCATCAGGCGGCCTCCTGCTGGCCATGTGACTCTCCTCATTGAGTGCAGTCACCTTCAGGTTGCTCTGCTGCCTACTCAGGCCCTTAAAGTGTCAGGCACTGAAGGTGCCCTGCCACAGGTGGTTATGAAGAAGCTGGAGCTAGACTGTTCTAGGTTGTGGCAGATAACAGAACAAGGAGTGGTCTTGAGTTCTAGCAAGGAAAGCTTGGATTAGATATCAAGAAAAAACTTTCTTGCTAGGAAATTAGTAAAACACTGGAACAAGTTACCCTGAGAGACTGTGGAATCTCCATCCTTAGAGGTTTTTAAGACCTGGGTAGACAAAGCCTTGGCTGGGATGGTATACCAAATTTACTGGAATGTAGACAGGGCTCCCCCCCCAATCATAGTGGGGGAGGAAAGTCCACATTTTATATTTGTATACAAAGTGGAGGGTGGGAGCAGGTAGCTGTTGTGGCTCTGACTTTGACCCTGAACCTGGGTGGGTGCCAGAATCAGACCCGTGGCAGCCTCCTGCTCCCCACCCTCACCCCCACTCTACTGCTTCTATGCAGTAAATACAGTATTACAATAAATATTTGAGTAAATACAGCAGTTGGGGGTGGTCCTGCTTTGAGAAGGGGCTTGGACAAGATGACCTCCTGAGGTCCCTTCCAACCCTAATTTTTTATGATTCTGTGATTTATTACTATTGTTTCAAACATAAAAACAAGATACTGCTATATTTCAATATGCTGAAGAAAGCCTGTTACAGTCCATTTTCCTGATTTTTTTTTTTTTTTAGGATGGCTTTTCCTGATTGTAAAGAGGACCTCTGCACACTATTGATGCTATTTCCTATAGAAAGTGCAATTTTAGCAATACAATTAATGAACAGCACAAAAATTGAGCAAAGGGTACATTGGCCTGATTAAGTATATGTATCTAGACATATTTTTAATAAAGCTTGGTGTAATCTACATTTAAAACATTGAACCTGGTATTTTTGTTTCAGGCTGAAATCATTCCACAGGTTACAAATAATACTACAGCACTTGGTAAGTACAGCTAGGAGCTGATTTGCAACAATGGCTTCCTGGGGTGAGAAAAAATAGTCTTTCAATGAACTGTCCAGCCTTGATGGTGCTAGATTATGAAGACTTTTAATGTTTAGGTGCAATGTTTCCAGTTCAGTATCGTCTGATGTTTACTACAAACTCTTCTTGCAGTATTTCATAGATTAATAGCTTAATAGATTCTCACAGTTCACTACATTTTTGCATCACATGCTTTCTAGTTAATGCTTCTGTAGTGGGCCCTGATAACTATGGTGTGGACTGCTGCTCTCTGCCAGTCAGTTCTTGCCTGCTTACCTGTCTGGTATCTAGGTGACTTCCCTGATCTGCTGCCCAGGGTGTGTGGGCAGTAGATTGCAGCTCTACTTTGGCTCTGGACCACAGTGTCACTGGCACAAGATCCCAGCCCTATCCCTGGAGCAGCTCCCCGTCCAGCCAGTGCTGCTGGGGCTGGTTTCCATGGAAACCCTGGTCCGAGGTCACAGCACCATGGCTCCTCTGGTGTTCGTGGAAGCTGCTGCAATGATACGGACAAGGGCTGATGGGAAATAGAGTCTGCCGCAGGCCCGAACTGGCCCGTGGGCCGGACTTTGCCGGCTCCTGCCCTAGAAAGTGCCACCAGGGCCAAACCCCAGGGAAAAGCAAGTCTGGGGTTCCCTAAATCGCTAGCCCCCACTGATTTGCAGGAAAAAACTAGGAGACCTGACCCCGATTCAGAAAGGCGTGAACAAGAGTGAGGGTGACTCTGTGCAGTTTTCCCTCACTTAAATCCAACTCACGAGCAAGTCATGACATCACTGTATCCACTACATAGACACACTTAAAGTCCTGTGGCAATGAACAAGCAGCAAAGCAGTAGGTGTGGATATGCTGGGAGTTGTAGCTGCAGACCTGCACACAGACGGCTCAGGGCATAGGGTCGCTTTTCACTGGACCAAAGCAGCAGTAGAATTTGGCAGCCCCTTGGATCACTACTCACCTCTAGCATGAGGAAGGGTCTAGAAAAAGTGCCCTAAACATTATCTGCTTCACCTTAACTCTGATCAGCATACGGGTTGGGATCCTACTATAGCAGTTGACAACCACACAAAAAGACAAAGGTAAAACCACTCACCATTGGTGCTTGGAATGCATGCATGCTAGTGGTCTGTACAATAACAGATAGACCAAAGAGAACAGCTCTAGTTGGTAGAGAACTGGCCAGATTCAGATAGTGGCCCTGAGTGAAACTCACACAGCTGAAGTAGGACAACTAACTGTAAAAGGAGCCAGCTACACCTTCTGGAGTGGCCATAGTAAAGAAGAGCGACACGAAGCTGGTGTTGGGTTTGCCATCAAAATACAGCTAGTTAGCAAGCATCCTTGAAACGTTTTAACATTGACCTGAAGCCTTGGGAAGATCTTGCTCATAATCGTTCCACCTAGTGAAGCCTCATCCATATTAGAGCTACTGTGTGTGAGTGGAGAATAACTGCTGAGGCAGAGCAGAAGGGCAAATAGTATAAATCTCACAACAGCAGCACATCTGTTGATCAAGCAACCCAAAGCGGCATCTTTTGCTCACTGTGCCATAGGCAGTTCAAAGCACAAATTGGCCTGATCAACCGTTCCCATGTTCACAGAAACCAAACCAACCAGTGATGTTATAGTCATCTTTGAATTCAAAGGACAAACATCATTATTTCTTGCACAACATCATCAAAGTTGCTCACAGACAAGGCAGTTTGTTTCAAATTGCAAGAAGGAAAACCGGGAATAGTGTTATGCAGCAAATATAGCTGAAGCAGATGTTTTCAGTATGGCATTTTCAATGAAACCTTGAGATGAAATGGTATATTCCCCAAAGGTACTGTGGAAAATGCCTTTCAGATTATGGCCCACATGCTGGTTCCATTATTTTTGCAGAGTAGTAGGCTTGATATAAATCTAAATTTAGTATGGTTTCAAGAATTATATTAAAACAGTGGAAATAAATTAGTCTATAAAAAACCTGAGTGGGGGCTGGAAGGGGAAAGCTAGAGTGGGGAGATTGTTATACACCTTAGAATTCTGCATTAACTGATATTAATGTGTATTTTGAGAATGTTCCTGTAATTATATTCTGCACAGTATGGTCTTTCAGTATGAATCATAAATGGTAATAATTCAGTCTCCATTTTTCATATGTACAGCATATGTCCAAACACACAGATTCTGTGCATGAAGTATTGCTGGAAAAGAAAGGATGTGCTGGAGTAATAACTATGAATAGGCCAAAGGCTCTAAATGCATTTAATCTTCCCATGATTCAACAGATTTATCTGCAGTTAAAGGTCAGTGGCTTTACTTTAACTACCCCTCTTTATTCAGTACACATTCAGTTATTAAGTACACATACCAGGCTTTGAACATAAGTAATCACACTGAATTCAATGTGACTACTCATGCTTAAAGTCAGGTGCCATGCTGGTCTGCAGCCTATATATAAACAAATTTACTTACATGATGATTTTCCCCC